CCCAGAGGGGATGGCCACGCTGCAATCCCTTCTCCTCCATTCTCCTTTCGGGATCCTGGGCACGCACGCACATGCACCCAGTGTGAGTTTTAAGCCACCAGGTCCGAGATGCGAACCACGGTCGACTACATGGGAGTCCAGCAACATAGCCATTATGCTAACTGCTGGTCCCGCAGTTATGTCTTCTGACACCTGACAGAGGTGTGATTCTCCCCGGTGGAGTCACTCTGGTTCTCCTCTCCATCTGTGCTCTCCGGGAGGACGCCACAACACGGTCCTCAGCTAAGGAGAGTAGCCTCCCCCGACTCTCCCCATTCCGTCCCAGGGGTAGTTTCTACAGAAGTTACTTGGAATGTTCCGGCATGGGAGTGTCGTCTCGCTTATTGATTCAGTACGTATTTATGTCAGTATGGATCCTGGACACTCACTTTCTACCTCGGGTTATAATCCAATGCTGCTTAATTCTGTTGCTCCGTTATTCCGACGTTAGCCACTAGGGGCTCCAGGGCTCTTTTGGCATACTCCTTTCCTGGTGTTTTATGAGCAATTTAAACTCTGACACATAGGAGGTGACTTCGCAAAGTTCGCGGAGCAATGTAATTAAGGTACGAGCTTATTTTCTCTCTTTTTTTCTCTTTTCAGAAATGATGCTGGAGGGCATGTGTGCACACATACAAGACAGGATGAGGGGGACAGAGAAAGAGCAAGCACCCGCCAGGTCACGAGGGCACTCTTTTTTTCTCTTTCTTTTTTTTTAGAGGTTTTTGCTATAGGGTGCGTGTGCTTGCCAGACAGAGACAGAGAGACAGAAAGCGAGAAATCACCCCCCAGGGGGGATGGCCACACCGCAATCCCTTCTCCTTCTTTCTCCTCTCGGGATCTTGGGCACGCACACACACGCACCCGGCGTGAGTTTTTAGCCACCAGGTCCGGGATGCGAACCGCGATCGACTACGTGGGAGTCCAGCAACATAGCCATTATGCTAACTGCTGGCCCCATGATGGCATTCTTTTCCCTCCACTTCTCCATCCCACCAGCTCCTGGCCACATGCGTGTGCTGTGTGTGTAAGCACGGGGGCTGGGCCCGCGGTGGGCCATGTGTTAGCTGGCTTCCTCTGCACAGCGCCTAATGGCTACACTGCAGAGCTGGCCCATGAGTTCACGTTGGTGCAAAAGGATTTTGAGATCCATGCAGTTTTTCAGAATGCACATTTCCCATAAACTTCCTGAAGACCCTGTGTATAAATGTGCGTGAAACCCCCACACAATCAAGACAGTGAAAATATTCACTAGAGACTCCTCCTGTCCTTGCCATCCGCCACAGTTCTCCCTACCCGCAGGCACCCACTGCCCTGCTTCCTGTCACCACAGAGGGGTGGGTGCCATGGACTCCCCCGCCGGGCTCTTTACTCAGCAGGATCGCTTTGCGATTCATCCCTTGGGCAGGATCCAGATGAGATGAGGGGTGGTGGGGCTACCAGGTAGAGATCCCTGGCCAAAGTGCAGAGCGGGGCTGGGGTCCTGGTGGGGATAGAGGCTGGCAGGACTCCTGGGTTCCTGCTTGGCCACCAAGGCAGGAGCAGAAGACCAGAAAGGACAGACGGCAGGTTAGAGGATTGCACCTGCTCAGAAGGGGATGCCTGGGGTACATTCTAGCTGTCCCAGAGGGGGTACATCCAAGGGCTGACCTGAGCCACAGGCCCTCAGGGCACACATGACAAAACCAGGGGAGGGAAGGCTAGCCAAGGGCATATACAGGAGGACTGGAGAGGCCAGGACTAAACCTAAGAAACCGAATTCTTTTTTTTCTTTTCTTCTTTTTTTTTTTTTTTTAGGGTGTTTGCCATAGGGTGCACGCACTTGCCACAGTGAGAGGGAAAAAGAGAAATCAGCTCCCAGAGAGGATGGCCATGCTGCACTCCCATCTCCATTCTCTTCCTGGGATTTTGGGCACATAGCCACATGCCAGATGTGGTTTTCAGGCCACCAGGTCTAAGACTTGAACTATGGTTGGCCATGCAGAAGTCCAGTGCCACCCAATTCTTAGTGGCAGGCTGCAGAAGACAGGGACAAGCGTCCAGAGAGGCTGACGGAAAATTGGGAGTGGTGTAGTCACAGAGCTGCTGAGAGGTAAGTCACAAGACTGGCCATCAGCTTAGACACCAAGCTGGGGAGGGGTGGGGCGTGGTCACAGAAGTCACAGCCGGAACGGAGCTCATGAGCTGGCAGGATCTGCGTTCTGCCGGCACAGAGGCTCCATGCTGTCCTGTGTGTGAGCACCCTGGTCGTCACTACTGCTCCCAGCTGTCCCACAGCAACAGGGAAGAGCATGTGGTCAGAACTGGTCCTGCTGCTGTAGCAGAATACCACACAGGGCCAGCAGGTGGCGTGGAGGTTAAGGTGGCTGGATCCCACATGGCTGACAGACTGCACGGTTTAAGTCCTGGAGCTGGTGGCTTGAAAAACACACTGGGAGGGATTGGCAGGTGGTTTGGTGGTTAAGGGTGCTGGATTCCCACATGGCTGACCAGTCTGAGTCCCGGACCTGGCAGCTTGCTTTCTTGCTTTCCCTCTCTCTCTCTTTCTGGTCAAATTAAAATAATAATAATAATAATAATAAATGAAGTTAAATAAAATGTAAAAAAAGGAAAAACACATTGGGAGCATGTATGTGTGTGTGTGTGTGTGTGTGTGTGTGTGTGTGTGTATGAGCATGTGTGTCCAAAACCCTGAGAGAAAGGATTTCAGCCTGGCTATAGCTCCCGGAGGGTAATTTCTCACTTTCCCTCTCGGTCTCTGTCTCTGACCAGCAAACATACCCTTAACAAAAATGAAAAAAAAAAAAAAAAAAAAACCAAAAAACCCCACAGACTGGGTAATTTATACAAAATAAAAATGTATTCCTTATAGGTTTGGAGGCTGAGAAGTCTGAGACCGAGGTGCCAGCAAGGTTAGCATCTGGCGAGGGCCTGCTCCTCAGATGGGCTGCCAGGCATCCTCAGGTGATGGAAGAGAAGGGGGGAAGAGCCTCGCTAGTTCCCCACAGCCCGCATAACTTAGCTGCTTCCTAAAGACCCTTTCTCTTAATACTATCATACCAGGTCTTAGAGTCCAATATATGACTTCCAGAGGATATGGGTGAGGGTTTTCAAGTTTACAGAAAAATGATGAAAAAACATTACAAATAAACTAGGCAAGGTGCGGCCAGCAGGTGGTTTAGTGGCCAAGGTGTGGACTCCCATACGGCTGACTGTGGTTGGAGTGCCAGACCAGGAGGCTTGAAACTCACACCGGGAGCGTGTGTGTGTGTGCCTAAAATCCGGAGAGGAGAATGGAGGAGAAGGGACTGCAGTGTGGCCATCTCCCCGGGAGATGATTTCTCACTTTCTGTCTGTCTCTCTGTCTCTCTTGTGTCTCTGGCGAGCACAAGCATCCTGTAGAAACAAAAACAAAAACAAAAAAACACTCTAAGAAAAAAAAAACAAAAAATACCAGGTATGGATTTCAAAATTTTTCTGAAAAAAAAAAAAAAAAAGACAAAAAACCCTTGCTGAGACCAGCAGAAGTGTAATGGTTACGTCACTGGACTCCCATGTAGTTGACTGGAGTTCAGTCTGGACCCGGGGCGTTTTCATGCCCAGCGCATGGGTGTGCTCGCCAAAATCCCAAGAGGAGAATGGAGAGGAGACTGCAGCATGGTCATCCCTCGGGGGATGATTTCTGTTTCTTTGTCTCTCTGGAAAGCACACCCAACCTATAGCAAAATCTCTCTTAAAAAACCACAACAGGGGCCAACAGGTGGCAGGGTGGTGGGTAAGCTGGACTCCCACATGACTGACTATGGTTCAAGTTCGAGACCTGGCGGCTTCCTTTCTTACTTTCCCTCTCTCTCTAGTCAAATTAAAATAATAATAATGATTGGGGACCAGTAGATGGTGTGGTGGCTAAAGCACTGGATAATTCCACATGGCTGACCATGGTTCGAGTCCTGGACCTGGTGGCATGCTTTTTCACTTTCTCATTGTCCTCTCTCTCTAGTCAAATTGAAATAAATAAAATCAACCAATAATTCCTTTTTTTTTTTTTTTTTAAAAAGAGACTTTAAAAAATGAACAAAATAAAATGATTTAAAAACAAAACAAAAAGCACAACACAAAAAACTTGCACCACAATAAACTCATACTTAAATTTCATTTCCTGTAAATTTTTAAAAAAGATTTATCTACTTAATGGGAACCAGCAGTTGGCATAATGGCTATGTCGCTGGACTCCCACGTAGTCGACCGCAGATCGCGTCCCGGACCTGGTGGCTTAAAACTCACACCGGGCGCGTGTGCGGGCGTGCCCAAGATCCCGAGAGGAGAATGGAGGAGAAGGGATTGCGGCGTGACCATCCCTCCTGGGGGGTGAGTTCTCGCTTTCTGTTTCTCCTTCTCTCTCTGTCCGTACCTCGCCCCTCTCCTGGCCGCCGGGCAGGACTCCCAGGGGCTGCCCGCGGGGAAGCCTAGGCGGTGGCGGCTCCGCGCTCGGATAGGGCGAACGAACAGAGTAGGAGCCGGGCCGCCGGTACCCCGGGTGAGCCCCACCCCACCCCTGAGCCCTCCTTGCTGCCGAGCCAGCTGCTGCGCGAGGGCCAAATCTGAGCCACGTGGTTTCCAAGGACCCCTCGGGGCTCGGGAAAATATTATGGTTCGAGACACAGCAGAAAGCTACAGCTGTGCGGGAGGGCGGAAAGGGCCGTGACTGCGGCCAGCGGTGGCTGTTAGCCGAGGCCTTTCCCTGGCCCAGGGCAGCGAGAGAATGAACAGCTCGTCAAGGTTCGGTTCCTTTGAAACTGACTGCCCACGTATGGCCACGCGGCTCAGAGGCCTCGCAGCGAGTGCGGGGGCCGAACCCGGGGTAGCTCGCGGGTCCTTCCTGCCCCCGGCCGCGTCACCGCCAAGGCGCGGCCACACATTCACCTTCAGCGGCACCGAGCGACTTCCGGGCCGCCCCGGCGTGCTCTGCGGCTCTGGTGGCTGTTTCGAACCCAGGCGCCAGGCACGCACGTCCAATCCGGAGCCCGGGGCAGGTCCCCGCTGACAGTCCCCGTCACCCCGGGCAACCACCGGCACCGGAGACCCGGCCCTTTAAGGCGCTCTAGCTTTACCGCCGACTTCGTTTCGCGCGCCCGCCCGCGGCGCCGGCGGAGCGAACATGGCCCAGGTGGCTCGGGTTGCGCGGACGCTCTGGCTCTGCCGGTGCGCCCCGGCCTGGAGGCTGGGCGGCTGCTCCCAGTCACAGGTCCCCGTGCAGCGCCGGGCTGGCTTCTGGGGGGCCGCGAGAAGTCCTGGCCCCGCTGCTGCTGGCCGCCCGGGGAGCCGGCGGCTGCTGGGGGCAGCTGCGTTGGCCCTGGGGGGCGCCCTGGGACTGTACCACACGGCGCGGTGGCACCTGCGCGCCCAGAACCTTCATGCCGAGCGCTCAGCTGCTCAGGTAAGGCCTGGCCGGGCCGCGATTGGGTCGCTTGGATCAGCGCCGAACTCGCGATCCCTGGTTCCCCAGGGATTCAGGAGTTGCCTCCTGTGCCCGGTTGTGACCTTGGGCAAGTGACTTAGTCTTTAGTCTCTGAACCCGCAGCGTCCCCACCTGTGAAAATCGGGGCACTCCTGATGCCCAGCACCTAGAAGTGTTGGTATTTCATCGTTTTTCTAACGTGTTTTAAGGAGACCTTAATTTTAAAAAGTCACTATTATTCTTTCTTCTATGAGAGAGACCCTTCCAAAAGAGTCCTGTCACGCTGCCGTCCTTACCCCAGCCCTCCAGCCAGCCTGGGCTGTGGGCGCCCCCACTGGTCTCCCTGCAGAGAGACCAGGGATAACAGCCATACAGTCCTGAGTCCCATACAGTCCCATGTAGGTCCGTTTGAAGGCAGCTGCAACCTGCTTAGCCCAGGCTGGACCTTAAGGAGACTTATTTTGGGGGCCAGCAGGTGACCTGGTGGTTAAGGCGCTGGACACTCCCACATGACTGACCATGGTTCAAGTCCCGGACCTGGTGTCTTGCTTTCTCACTTTCCTTCTCTCTGTGCATCTGTCTTTCTCTGGTCAAATGAAAATAAATAAATGAATGAATGAATACATAAAAGTAAATAAATAACTCTAAAAAAAGAGACTTCTTTTTTAGAGAGATTTTTGCTAGAGGGCATGTGTGCTTGTGGATGACACATAGAGACAGGGAGAGAGAAGGTGAGAAATCTCCTGGAGGGATGGCCTCTCCGCAATCTCTTCTCCACTCTCCTCTCGGGATTTTTGGCATGCATGCACACACACGTGGTGTGAGTTTTAAGCCTCTGGGTCGGGGATTTGAACCGGGGTTGGCCCTGTGGGAGTCCATTGCCCACCTGCTGGCCGCAAGAAGACATTTTGAATTGCAGAGATCACAGAAAAGGGAAAGCCTTTTCCCAGATGATCATTTTGCACACCGTTCACCCCCCATGCCCCCAGGCCAAGGTGGTGTGTTTATTGAGGACCTGTGACCATTGGGCCCGGGAGCGGGCAGGGCGGTGCCCAGCCAGGTGGTGGCCCAGCACCTGGAGATCATAGCTGCATGGCCACAGCCTGTCATGGTACCCCCATCCCTCCCATCCACTCACGCCCATTTCCTGCATCCAGGGGCGCAGGGGTGGGTGCAGAGGGAATGGAGTCCCTGGCCTCTGCCTGCCCTTCACGGTCCGGCCTCAGTTTCCCATCTGCACACTGAGGGAGGTGTTCTGCACTGGGGCTCCCAAATGTGAACCTGCAGCAAGCTCACAGGATTTCCAGCTGAGCAAGCCAGATCCAGTCCATGCTCGATACCTCCTCCGCCCTGGAGATGCGATACCGAACCCACTCCAGGGTGCTGTCTGGGCCGTGGCCCAGCTCTGCTCAGCTACTGGCTGGTGGAGTGGGAGTGGGAGTGAGTACACAGAGTCAAATGGTCGTTCTGTGCCTGGGAGGGGGCACGCCTGGGCTGTCTGGTGTCCCTTGGGACGGTGGCAGAGGAGAGACTGCCTCCACTGTGGACAGAGCGGAGAGGTCTCCCACACAGACTCAGCAAGTGCCGGGCCTCCTTTCTGGGAGCCAGCAAGCAGGGGGCTTGGGCCTGGGCTGTTCACCTCGCAAGCCCCTTCCCTACCTCCCTGCGCCTCTGTTTCTCCCTGCTCTCCCACACCCCCATTCTCAGGGCACCTCAGGAGACTCTCCTGGGAAACTTATCGCCTGGGGCGGGACCTGGAGTAGCAGGCCTCAGCAGCCCCTCCGTCTGTGCCTCAGCTCTCCCTGTCCAGCCGCCTGCAGCTGACGCTCTACCAGTACAAGACCTGCCCCTTCTGCAGCAAGGTCCGCGCCTTCCTCGACTTCCACGCCCTGCCCTACCAGGTGGTGGAGGTTAACCCCGTGCGCAGGGCTGAGATCAAGTTCTCCTCCTACAGGAAGGTGCCCATCCTGGTGGCTCAGGAAGGAGAGAGCTCGGTGAGCCTTGGGAACCCCCCAACTCCCTCCTGTCCTGGGGTGTCCTGGAGCATTTCTGAACGTAGCCCTGCAAGGAACTGTGATCCCTGGGTCTCTGCTGAGGATCAGGAGGGGAGGGGGCGGCATGCAGCAGGTGCTCCATAAGTGCAGGCTATCTTACTTCCCTGCCCGCCCAAGCCCCTGCCGCGTCTGAGGGAAGCGGAGCGCCATAGCACCCAGCAGTGTGGCTGCTGAGATCGGGACGTCTGGGGCTGAGGTGTGACTGCCATGCACTAGCTGTGTGGCTTGGGGCAAGTCACTTAGCCTCTGTGGGCTTGCTTCTTCACTAGTCAGCAGGGGCCCACACCCTGGGATGCAGGAGCAGCTCCACCCAGTGCTTGGCACCCAGGGCGGCGCTTCTGGAGCCCGCCTGCCCCTTTGCCTGGGTGCTGGACGGTGAGCGGGCAGAGCGAGACCGTGGGCCTCCCCCACGCTCCTTCCCGTTAGCCACTAGATCACTGTGTTCTCGCCCATGCCCTGAGGGCAGGGAAGGGAGAGCCAGTGGGCACTGGTCTTAGGGGAGTCCCAGGGATGTGACCTCAGGATGCCGGGGTGTCTGTGTATTTAGGACCCCTGCTGATCCCCGTGGCTGTTCAGAACCTCTGACCTGAATGAGTTTTATTTTTTTCTTTAAATAATTATTTTACTTAATTTTCTTCATTGTCATTATTTTATTTTACTTTTTAAAAGAGAGAGAGGGAAAGTGACAGAGAGGGAAAGTGAGAAAGCACGCTGTGAGGTCCGGGACTTGAACCGTGGTCAGCCATGTGGGAGTCCGCCACCTTAGCCACCACGCCTCCGCCAGACCCTGAATGAGCTCTTGTCTTCCAGCAACAGCTAAATGACTCCTCTGTCATCATCAGTGCACTCCAGACCTACCTGCTGTCGGGGTAAGGAGCCTGTCCTGTCTCCAGGGAGCCTCCCCCGTGCCCGCAGGGGGTCATGGTGGGCTGTTTCCTACTCCAAGGCCTCCCTCTGTCAGGGAACTGCTGCTGGCGTCCACCTCAAGTCCCTTTTGGTGCAGGAGGGTAGAGAGGTTTGCGGGTTGGTCCTGGCTCTACCCCAGGGCTGAGCCAGGCCAGGGTGGTCCGCCAAGGTGGACAGGAGGAGGAGAAAGCTGGGGTGACACTCTGGATCTCTCTCGAAGGCAGCCTCTGGACGAGATTATCACCTACTACCCACCCATGAAGGCCGTGAATGACCGGGGCAAGGAGGTGACCGAGTACTGTAACAAGTACTGGCTCATGCTGGACGAGAAGGAGGCCCAGCGAGCGTATGGCGGCAAGGAGGCCAGAACGTGAGTGGGGCTGGGCTGGCCCAGTGGCGAGGTTGGGGGTCTTCCCCAGCATGGGCCCAGGCTGGGCGGATGCTGCGGGCGGATGCTGGCCTGGAATTCTGCTGCAGGACAGCAGATGGCCTGGTGGTTAAGGGGGCTGGATCCCACATGGCCCCTGCACAGTATGAGTCCCGGACTCACTGACTTAACGACACTGGGGCGTGTGCGTGCACGCGTGTCCCAAATCCTCAAAGGGTGGAGAAGGGATTGCAGGTGGCCATCCCCCTCGGGGCGTCTCTCACTTCCCTTTCCTCTCACTATCTCTGTTGAGCGCACTTGTCCTCTGGCAAATTTGGAGGGGTGGGGACGGGCGGGAGCCTTTCGCTCACAGCAGATCCCCCGCTGGGCCCCGAGGTGCCGTGGCCCACTCTGGTCCTCCACAGGGAGGAGATGAAGTGGCGGCAGTGGGCGGACGACTGGCTGGTGCACCCCATCTCCCCGAACGTGTACCGCACACCCGCCGAGGCCCTGGCCTCCTTCGACTATATCGTCCACGAGGGCAAGTTCGGGGCCGTGGAGGGCGCCGTGGCCAAGTACGTGGGTGCAGCTGCCATGTACCTCATCAGCAAGCGACTTAAGAGCAGGTGATGACAGTGCATGTGTGTGTGTGCATGTGTGGACCCATGTGCACACATATGTGTGTGCATGTGTGTGTGTGCACACACGTGCCTGTGTGGGTCTGGGGGCCTGCTGTCCAGGCCCTGGTATCACGTGCTATGGTGACCTCATCAGACCCCTGGGACACGGTGGGAGACTGAGGCCCGAGGCGCCGAGGAGCCTCCCGGAGCATTGCCCAGCCAGCCTCAGACCAGAGCTCCCAACCACCTCCCCGCCTCCCCAGCGGGAGCCCAGACCGGCCCCTGCGGACCCCTGCCCCCCCTGCCCCTCTCCAGGGTCGGGTCTCTCGCCTTCCCTGACCCGCAGCCGCTCCACAAGGCAAACGTGTCCTGAGGTCTCCACAGGTGCCGTGCCCTCCTCGGGTGCTGCCCCACCAGGAGGCCCCGCGTCCGCCTGGCCTGGGCCCGGAGCCCCTGACGGACATCCCCCTCCCTTGTGCAGGCACCACCTCCGGGAGGACGTCCGGGAGGACCTCTACGAGGCCGCCAATAAGTGGGTGGCCGCCGTGGGCAAAGACCGGCCCTTCATGGGGGGCCAGAAGCCGAACTTGGCAGATCTGGTGAGTGGGTGGAGGCGGTGCCTGCCTGACTGGGGCCGTCCTCGCTGGGGAGATCCGGGAGGGAGAGACCCAGAGGAGCCTGCATCTCTGCATTTCGCCTGCCCTGAATCCCGGGGCCCTCCCCCCAGCGTCAGGGCTGGAAGCCTAACTAGCAGCTTAAGGAGAAAGCCACAAAGGCCTGACTCGGGTCACGTGACTAAAAAGTTCCAGAACGAGGTAGCCTCGGGCCTGGCTGGAGCTAGAGTCCCGAGCGAGCAGCAGCAACAGAGCCTTGAGTGGATGTCATTGGCATGGCTGACCTCTGTGTCAGAGCTGGACTGCGGGGTCCCTTTTCCCCAAATCTCAGGACCCAGGAGTTGGGGGGGACATTTTCCCCAAGGAAACTGGGGAGGGGGTTGTCGCCCAGGAATGGGTGTGGGATGAGACAGGCGAACCTGCAGCCACCCCGTAGGTTTCAGTTAAAGCCCCACATGCAAAGCTGGCCTTTCAGCCGGTCATCAGCTGGCAAGGAGGGGAGTGGCAGGACCCGGGCTCACAGCGGGCAGGGGTGGGCAGGTCTGGAGGCCCCCTGCTGCCACCACACCCCTGCCAGCCCAGCTGCAGCAGCCCTGTCTCCCCAGGCGGTGTACGGCGTGCTGCGGGTGATGGAGGGCCTGGAGGCCTTCGAGGACCTGATGCGGCACACGCGCATCCAGCCCTGGTACCTGCGGGTGGAGAAGGCCATTGCCGAGGGCGCCCTGCTGCACTGAGCCTCCCGCCTGGAGGGAGAGGCAGAGGACACGCTGCCCCAGGGATCTGGGCCTCCAGGCCGGCGGCCCTGGCAGAGCGCTGTGCTGGGAGGCAGGGTCCTCTGCCCCTTACCCACCTTGCTTCCGAGGCTGACCGTCTGCTGGGGCCAAAGGGTGGTGGGACAGGGCGCAGGCTCAGTGTCCACTCACACCCCGAGGGTCATGGTGGGACTACTGCCCCTGCCCCTCCGGCCCAGGCCCTGGGAGCTGACCTGCTCTCCAGCTGTCTCCTGGAGCTCATGACGGCCACGCTGCGGCTTCGCCACACCCCTTGGATGGGCACAGACGGGCTCCCGCCTTGGCAAGGGCACCAGGAGGCCCCGGCCTGCCCTCCCCCCGACGCTGGCTCTTCCTGAGCGCCCCCAGGCGTGTGTCTCCTGGATTATGTTCACAATAAAGGTTTGCTGGCCCCCCGTGGTGGGCTGTCCCTCAGGGCGGCATCAGAGTGGGCCCATGCCAGCCTGGTGGTGTGTCTAGTCACCGGGTGTCGGGCAGGGAAAGGGCAGGTGGGCCCAGGGTCCCCCACCGGGTCCCGAGGTGCCATGGGCTGCAGTGGGCTGGGGGCTGAGTGGCCCAGGTGTGATTTGGCTCTGCCCCACATCAACTGTGGGACCCACAGAGACAGCCCCTCTGCACCTTGGTCTCCCCGTCTGTCAGATGAGCATCATCAGGGTAGTCCTGGCTTGTAGAGAAGTCATGGGGGTTGGAGACGAGGTGCCCCTCCCAGAGCAGGGACCTGGGCTTGGTTGACCACTGACCTGCCCCAAGGGCGAGAATGCAGGGCCCCGGTCTGCAGGTGGCCACTCCGGCAGCTGCCTCTGTGACTTCAGCATGAGGGTGGGCTGAGCAGCACCAGGCCAGCGCCGCCTCCCTGGTTTCAGAAATGGGCCCTCCGGAGGCCAGGCAGGCGGCCTGTGGGTCTGGCTCCACCTGCTGGGCCGCCCAGCTCGGGGGTGACAGCAACCTCACACCCTCTTGGAAAGTTATGAAACTATTTTCTTCCTTAGTATTTTACAAACCAAAGTAGTCCACCGAGCCATTTTCATGGCGCTGCTGTGATGGACTGCTCACAAGAAGCTAGGCCCCACATGGTGACCCTGGTTTGAATCCTCAGCTTGGTCAGCCGAAAACACGCTGGGCATGCGTGCAAGTGCCCGGGATCCAATGGGCTGGAGACCTGAGGGGGGATCATGGCATGAGAGGCCTGCAGAGGTGCTCTTCCTTCTGTTGTGCGGACCCTCCCTCCCTCCCTCCTCTCACCCTCCCACCTGTTTACCCTCCCTCCCTTCCTCCTGCTCACCCTCCCTCCGTCTGTGCACCCTCCCTCTCTGTTCCACGCACACGTGGCCCCCAGTTCCTCTCAGGGACCCCCCGCAGGAAGGCACTTGTAGCCAGGGCAGCACAGCACCGAGGCCTGCAGGCAGAGTGCGGAGTCCACAGGGCCGGCCTGCCACCTGCTGGGCTCGGCTTCCCATCTAGGGCACGCCCTTGGCACGAGGCACACCGGCTCCTTCCCGGCTGCACCAGCACCCAGGCCGGACAGGCTTGCTGTCCAGGTGTGCTGAGCACCAGGCGGGCTGCAGGAGGAAGGGAGGAACCAGGCCTGAGGCTGCAGGGACTGTAGCATAGCGGCCCTGGGGCCACCTCTCAGGGCTGCGGGTGTGTCCAGATGCGGCCACCTCAGGATCAGGCCCCACGTGGTCTCTCGAAGCCTGGAACCCCAAAGCTTCCCCTGGTAGAGCAAGAACTAGGCCAGGACTGCCATGGTGGCTGAGGACCCCCCTCCAGGCCGCCCAGCCCCTGTCCCACAATCCCCCATCCCGGTCCTCCCATCCTCCATCCTGCTCCCACCGCTCGCTCCCTTCTCCTCCCAGGCAGGCTTTCCATGCCACCAACGCCACTGGGGGCTCTCTCCCCTCTGCACCCACAGTTCCCCAAAGGGGGCATCTGCCACCTGCTGTCCTCGCCTGTGACTGGTGTCTCCCTACAGCCTCGCTTGGTGGCCGGGGAGGCCCCACACCACAGCCCCACCGTGCCCCCTGCTTTTCCTGCCCTGCCCAGCCCCGCCTGGGCCTCCCCTGAGGCTCTGGTTGCCTTAGGCTCCAGGTGCAGGCCAGGCCCCAGCTCCCAACTTCAGACTTCGAGATAACGTTTTTTTCTCCCTTTTACAAAAAGAGATTTGATTGGTGCCGAACCAAGCTGGTAACGGGTGTGACC